AGCTTGTGTAGCATCATATGAATGTGTTATTCTAACCTCACCTGCCAAAAAAAAATATACAAATATATATATATATATATATATATATATATATATATATATATATATATATATATATATATATATATATATATATATATATATATATATATATATATATATATTAGTTTAAAAGCTGGATTGATTAATATATATTAAACATAAAAGTATAGATAAACTCACCACTAACAACTTTAGCCCGACAACACTAAATGACTACAATCCGTGGTTCTTTCGAATCACTATTGTAATAAGGCATAAGGGAATACACATGTTCATTCCAAAGTGTACATGTCAGGGTGTTGTCACTGGATTCCAAACAGAAAAAAAAAAGTATTACATTAAAAAATCACATCATCAGTTTATAATTGATTCAAAGTTCATTTTTAAAAACTTACGCATTGTCTTCAATTTGAAAGTCAATGAGTTTGGTTGCCTTTCCACCTATAATCTTGTCCACAAGATTATAGATCACACTGACCCTTCCAATCACATCTGCCAATTTACCAAAAAATTAGAAACAAATATAAGAAAAGTAAAGTTAGTACCAATCAGTTCCTTGTCATTAACATCTGCAAGATCTTTCAAAGCAATGAAACTCTTTAAGCAAAACATTTTGAAAGGAAACCCATTAGAATGTATCTCCTTCACTTGTGTTCTATAGTTGAATTTGATCAGGAAGTCATGTTCTGTAATCTTGTAGACATAGTAATTTGTAGAAGCCATGAAATTTTTGATTTCAAAAACTTTCCCTTCTTGTATTATTTCTCTATATTTTACAATGTCTTTTTTCCTAATGCTGGCATGAATGTAGTCTCCCTGCCAATCAAAAAAAAAAAAAAATTATACACATTAAAAGACCATTAGATTAGGAGATAGCATGAATATGATTTTTTGAAACAAAAAAAAAAAGTACCTCTTCATCATGGAACAATACTTCCATGCTCTTACTAGCCTGGCCCTCTCCCCTTTTCTCAGGCACTTCGTATACCCGTACTGCTCTCACCCTGATTGCCCTGAGCTGGTGTTCTGGCTTGATTTTTTTGACAGCAATGAACATGGAAGGCATCTTGAAAGACCAACACTGATTCGAAATGGTAGTAAAGTGACCTAGATTTGGGAAGGGTTTTTGGCATGAAGAAGCCGGCTATTTATACAGATTGAATATTCAAATAAACAAGGAGATAACCTGCAGCCACTGTCTTGGAAATCAAACATCTCATTCAATATTTATATGCAGATTTAAACTCTGCATATTCTATGTAATATATATATTTTTTTCTTGTTAATTTACTGCATGCATCTCATAACATGTAGGCCGGAGGCCTTCCTTATGCGTTGATATTAATCATTTTGTTTACACTACTAAGAGTTCTACATTAAATGAACTCCTTGGGAACCAAGGATTGTATGATACTTTAATACGAATACTTGCCTTTCAAAACGGCTAGGCATATTCCCAATGTGTAATCACATTACACGCGCAAAATAAAAATAACAAAGAATCGCTAAATATTAGTCTATATATAACTTAACATGCGTGTGAGTGTATATATGACTTAACATGTGCAACACATATAATTTAAAATGCGTATATCAATATACGCATGTTGACTCTTTATTATGCGTATCTATACGGTATACCCAATAAAAAAATGGTTCGTTTTTTTAAGGATTCAATGACCATTTATGTGCATGTATGTACAACTTAAAATAAATGGAACAAAATAATTTAAAATGCGTCTGTTACTATTACAATGTGCTTTGGGATATTCCCAAAAGAATATGAGTCAATTTATTGATTAATATGCGCACATTTATACATTATTATTCGTGTATTTTAGTCTAAATATGCATTACATTGTATACTAACTGACTTAGACCCAATAAAAAAAAAATATCAAATGGGTGCGTCTTTTTAAATATTGAATGACCATTCAACTTCGAAAGATTACCATTATGGGAAATATAAAAATTGCTGACATCGAAATTGACTTGTCACTTATTTCCAATGCCAAGTACAAATCTATCAAACCAACTTAGTCCCAATAAAAAAAAGAAGACTTAATGTGCTTTGCTTTGCTCTGTTACATGCGCGAGCTACAATAACAACATGCGTGTAAATATAAATTTAATTAATTTGCTTCGAAATAAGAGATTTTTTAAATCCAAAAGTTTAATGTGCGTCGAGAAACCAATTAAAGTGCGCGAAATATCATTATAAGATGCGTTTATTATATTTTATTAATAAATCCAAAAGTTTAATGTGCGTCGGGAAACCAATTAAAGTGCGCAAAATATCATTCTAAGATGCATTTATTATATTTTATTAATAAATCCAAAAGTTTAATATGCGTCGGGAAACCAATTAAAGACTAAGTCTTTATTAGGGTTTGATCCTGAGCAAAATTAGTTTAATCAAAGACTTCTACCATTTCACCATTGGGCTCATCCATTACTTTGATTATAATATATTAATAATAACAATAACAGAGGCAGACATGAGAGCTTGTTTATGTATAAAAACGTAATGTGCGTTGGTTTATGTATAAAAACGTAATTATTCAGTCATTGCGTTGAAAATTAGTCTAGTATGCGCGATTGCAAAACTTAAAGTGCGTTTGTTTGATTATGAAATAATTTGCATATAAAATGACACATACATGCTTTGAATTTAACATGTGCGACATATCAATTTAAAATGCGTGATATTGGAACACAATGAGCGTTGGTCTCTATATTAATAAAAATAATAATTTACACACTAATATATTAGTATTTGTAAACATAAATACACATTGAAACAACACCAATAACATTCAGTGCATCTTTTCTAGCACTTTGAAGACATTTCTTCTAGTTCTGGCATCATCCGACATGCTGCGACCCTGCCACAATGCTCAACTCTAAGCCTTGGATGATGTTTGGTTGCGGCATGATGAACTTGCAGTTGAGCTTATAAGCTCGATTTGGACATGATCAAGGAGTGTGGATGCATGTGGGCTCGTGGTCTCTAAGCTTGCTGTATATGATAGATTCCTGGCAGCCGTAGGTGTTATTTGGGATGTCGGATACTCAACTCTCTCAGCCTTGAATGATGTTTGGTTGCAGCATGACGAGCTTGCAGCTGAGGATGACGAGTGTTCTTTCAGGTTTAGAATGTGTTGTCTTTGTATTTATTTACAATCACTACAATCTGGAGGGCGAGGGGGGTGAAGAGGACATGCAAGATGAGGAATAAAAGAAGATGGTTTCTCTGTACGTGCGGACACATGAGAGGTAGTCATTTCATTGAAAACTGATGCTCAGTTGTGTGTTGTTATTTCCAATTTATAGGCGAATAACTTGGTCCCATGCACTGATTTGAAGATTACAATGTTGCGTGAATGGGCGCGTTTTTTAAGGCATTGAATGACCATTCAATGTTATCCGTCTCCCCAACTACAAATGCCTTAAAGTTCTGACATCAAATATCTTTGAATATTACGTGGATTGTTCTAAAACACTTAATGTGCTTTGCTTTGCTCTGTTACATGCGCGGACTACAAGAACAATATGCGTTTAAATATACATTTAATTAACTTTTATCGAAATACGATACTTTTTGAAGCCAAAAGTTTAAAGTGTGTCGGGAAACCAATTAAAGAGCGCGAAATATCACTTTAACATGCGTTTATTATATTTTATTAAACGAAAAACAAATAAAATATAATAAAAAATCAAGCCTTTATAGGGGTTCAATCGTGGGCGGAATCAATTTGATCAAAGACTTCTACCATTTCACCAGTGGGCTCATCGTTATTTTAATTATATTAGAAAAATGTTAAAGAGCAATTCCTGAAAATTAAAAACAAGCAAAAAGCTTGACATGCGCAATACGTACGCTCAATATGCGTAATACTGCAACAAAATTTGTGTTTCGTTATCTATTTAAACTATAGTCCATGGAAAATAAAAAAAAAGCTTAACATGCGCAATACAGTAACATAATGTGCATTAGAAAATACGTGAGTCCGGGGTATTCTTAAAAGAATATGTTTCAATTTATTCTCTAATATGCGGACGTCAACACGTTATTATGCGCATCTTTCATTCTTAATGTGCATGTGATTGTAAAGTCACTGACTTAGACCCGATAAAAAATAAAAATAAATAAATAAATAAAAATCAATGGGTGCGTTTATTTATTTATTTTTACGTATTGAATGACCAGTCAACTTTAGAAGACTTTATTATTCATTAATATGCGCATGTTAACACTTTATAGTGTGTATCTAACATTCTTAATGTGCATGAGATTGTACACTCACTTACTTTATTATGCGTATCTATCATCATCTATTAATATGACAATGTGCGATGGGGTGTTCTTAAAAGAAGATGCGTCAATAATGAAATAATATATCACCATAATAAACATAATATATCATTCAAACTAAAATTGTTGGAGTACAATAATACGGAATAACAAATAACATGAAAAACATAAAATGTTCACACATTCATCGTTATTCATCCTTACGCAGCCTCCTCCTTATTTCGATCCTCATTAGACAAATTTGCAACTGTCGCGTCGGGCACCTGTTGATCCATAAAATCGTGAAAAGTTATGAAACTGTAAATACATCAATAAAATTATATATAAAAAAATGTAAGTATGCAATAGGTCACCTCTTCGTCGAAATTGTATTCTTCTCGATCATAAACATATGTCGGCAACTCTTCATCTCTCAACACTGCTGCGCGAGTTCTATCACAATACATCAACATATACCTGAGAGACGAAGTTTTGTTTCTATAGGTGTTATACGCCACGTCAAATCTATTGATTAGATAGGCTTTGCCTACTTCAAATTTGTTGAAGCACTTTTGAACATGCGCTTGTGGAGTGTGCATGTGTATAAAAGTTTCATGAAATTATTAAAAAAAAATGCATCAACAGTAAATTTTAGAAATATAAAATATTAAGATTTATAATACGGTTAATAAAAAAATACCTCAAAATCATGCAACACACACTCTATAGACTTAGATGTTTTCAGAACCTTTTGATTCTGGCAGATGAACAACACGAACCACTCGGACCTTCATGTAATTCCACCGCAGTGCTATCCGAAGTTCGTTACCAACAATTCCAGAGTGAAGTTCAGCGGCCATTGAAAATTTGCCTAAAAGGGAAAATACAAAAGCAAAATGTGTTTGTAAGTGACAGATTTGAGACTAGCAGAATGGTGGGTTTAAATAGCAAAATGCGTCGATTCATTCACTCATATGCACACCTAAACACGTTACTATGCGTGTCTTTCATCCTTCATGTGCGTTATATTGTATGCTCACTAACTTAGACTCAATAAAAAAAATCAATGGTTGCGTCTTTTTAAAATATTGAATGACCATTCAACTTCGAAAGATTACCATTATGGGAAATATAAAAATTGCTGACACCGAAATTGACTTCTCACTTATTTCCAGTGCCAAGTACAAATCTATCGGGACTTATTGCTTTAATATGCGTTACATTTACACTTAACATGCGTGTACGTGTATGTACAACATAAAATACACAGAACAAATATAATTTAAAATGCGTCTATTGCTATTACAATGTGCGTTGGGATATTCTTAAAAGGATATGAGTCAATTTATTTATTAATATGCGCACATTTATACTTTATTTTCGTTTAATTTATTCTAAAAATGCATTACATTGACTACTAACTGACTTAGTCCCAATAAAAAAAAATATCAAATGGGTGCGTCTTTTTAAATATTGAATGACCATTCAACTTCGAAAAATTACCATTATGGGAAATATAAAAATTGCTGACATCGAAATTAACTTGTCACTTATTTCCAATGCCAAGTACAAATCTATCAGACCAACTTAGTCCCAATAAAAAAAAAACATTAATAGGTGCGTTTTTTTTATAAGTTGAATGACCATTCAACTTTAACAGATTTCCTTTATGGGAAATGAAAAAACTGCTGACAATGAAATACAGTTGTCACTTATTTTAACATATTTCATTTAACATGCAGCCATTCATATGCCGGTAAATGTTGAAGAGC